AAAAAGCAAAAAAGAAGGCCGATCAGTTTGGGCTACCCGGATGGACTGGGCTGGCCGGTCCGCACGGGTTGCACAGGAGAAGGCCCGAGAGAGTCGCTGGCTGGGCTTGGGCTGTTTGGCCATCCACGGGCTTGTCCGCATGGGGGGCCAAGTGGGAATCCCGGACTGCATGTTGCACGCGAGGCGTGCGATCCCGAGTTTGCCCACATGCGCAGGATCGCGCGCATGCTGCTCGGGTCTTGCGCACATGTGGCACGCGTGGGGTGTGCGGGCTGTCCGGCTGCACGCTCGCTTGCTACTTCACGCGTACGAGTTATCCACCTGCATGGGTGGATCGCCATGCTTGTTACTCACGTGCCAAAGGTAGTTTACGCATGCCGAACGTGTCTTCCATCTTCACACTGGACTTCGGACCTCTCTTTGTGCTTTGTCATTGATCGTGTTGCTTGCCCAATCTTGGACTAATAGATTGAAAATTCGTTTAAGCTTGTGGGCCCGGCTTTGGGTGATTGGGCCTACGGGCAACTGAGTTTGTTTTCCCATTGGGCCTAATTCGTCAAAGACTTCAGAGTCTTGCGCATCTTCTTCTTTTATCAGAATATCCTTTGTGATGGTTTTCGCGTCATCCTCCCTCCTTTGGAAATATTCGTCCTCAAATCTTCACCTACATCAAAAGTCGACAGGACAGATATATTAAAAGTAGCAGACACTTCGTACTCACCAAGTAGGTCGATTTTGTAGGCGTTGTCGTTGACACGCTTCAAAACTTGGAATGGTCCGTCTCCTCGAGGATCTAACTTAGATTTCTGCTACTTGGGAACCTTTCCTTCCTCAGGTGAACTCATACCCAGTCTCCTGGTTGGAAAACGAGGCGCTTCCATCCCTTGTTAGTATTACGGACATAGGCTTCATTATGTTTTTGCATGTGCTGTCGACTCTTCTAATGTATGGCTTTAATGAGTTCGGTGCGCTGTTGTCCATCTGTAGTTTTTACTTTCTGCACGGGAACAGGGGTTAAATCTAATGGAGTCAAAGGATTAAAACCGTATACTACATCGAAAGGTGACATTCTGGTAGAAGTATGAATATTTCGGTTGTGGGCGAACTCGATCATAGGTAAAAAGTCTTCCCAGGTCTTCAAGTTGAGGCCTACCACGGCCCTTAGAAGTGATCCTAGGGTCTTGTTTACCACATCGGTTTGGGGGTAACAAGTAGTGGAGAACAACTTAGTTCCCAGCTTCGCCCACAACACTCTCCCAAAGTGGCTGAGGAACTTAACGTCCCTATCACTCACAATGGTTTTACGTATACTGTGAAGTTTGACGATGTCCTAAAAAACAGATTGACAATATTTAAGGCATCATCAGTTTAGTGGCATGTAATAAAATGAGTCATCTTGCTAAAACGGTCCACCAAAACAAATACACTATCATGACCTCTCTTTGTCCTAGGCAGCTCTAGTACAAAGTCCATAGAGATGTCTACCCACAGGGTAGTGGGTACAGGTAGTGGGGTGTACAAACCACGAGGCATCACTCTAGATTTGGCTTGCCTACAAGTGATACACTGGCTACAAATACACTCGACATCCCTCTACATATTTGGCCAATAGAAATGCTCTTGTAACATGTCTAGGGTTTTTGATATCCCGAAATGTCCCATGAGTCCCCCACTATGTGCTTCCCACATTAATAGCTTCCTAATGGAATAGCTTGGTATACAAAGTTTGTTTTCTCTTAGGAGGAATCCATTGATTTGGTGATATTTTTGGACAGCACAGTGCTCACTAGCTTGGTAGACAAAAGAAAAATCTTCATTATTGGCATACATCTCCTTTGTGTGCTCAAACCTTAAGAATTTGGAGCTTAAAGTGGAGAGGAGCGCATACCTTCAAGATAACGCCTCCACAATGACGTTGTCTTTCCCTTGCTTATACTTGTTTTTATGAACTCTACCCACTTAGTGTATCGGCGGTTGACCTTACCTTGGCCCTTCAAATGCTTAAGGGATTCATGATCAGTGTGGATTACAAATTCCTTCAGCAGCAAATAGTATTGCCACACTTCCAAGGATCGTACCAAGGCATACAGCTCCTTATCGTAGGTCGAGTAATTAAGTGGTGCGCCACTGAGTTTCTCATTGATGTAGGTTATTGGGCCCCTTTCTTGTATCAGCACATCTCATACCTATTCTTGAAACATCACATTCAAGTTCAAAGGTTTTGTTAAAGTCAGGTAAAGCAAGTATAGGGGCAGAGCATAATTTCTCCTTTAACAGGATAAAGGCAGATTCTTGCTTGTTAGTCCATACGAATTTGACATCCTTTTCAACCAACTCGTTTAAGGGTGCCGCGATGGAACTGAAGTCTTTGACAAACCTTCGATAGAAACTGGCTAACCCATGAAAGCTTCTCACCTCACTCGCAGTCGTCGGTGCGGGCCACTCCTTAATGGCTTTTATCTTTTCTTCATCAAACTCGATACCACAGGCACTTACCACGAATCTTAAGAAGATCAGCTTGTCACTACATAAGGTACGTTTCTTTGCATTAGCATATAGTTGTTCCCTTCGTAGAACAGAACGAATATGCTTGATGTGGTCGTCTAGATTCCTACTGTAGATTAGGATATCGTCGAAGTACACAACTACGAATTTTCTTAAGAAATGTCATAGGACATGATTCATAAGTCTCATGAAGGTACTAGGAGCATTTGAAAGGCCGAAAGGCATTACGAGCCATTCATAAAGGCCGTACTTGGTTTTAAAAGCTGTTTTCTACTCGTCTTCAGGGTTCATCTTAATTTGGTGGTACCCACTTTTGAGACCAATTTTGGTGAAGATAGTTGCCCCACTAAATTCATCGAGCATGTCGTCTAACAGAAAAATAAGGTGTCTATATTTTACGGTAATTTTTTCGACAGTCGACACACATTCTCTAGAAACCGTCATTTTTGGGTACTAACAGGACAGGTACAGCACACGGGCTCAAACTTTCCCTAACATGCCTCTTGGCCAGCAGTTCTTCCACTTAGCACCGGAGTTCCTTAGTTTTTTCCGGATTACTCCTATAGGCAGGGCGATTGGGAATGGTGGCTCTAGGGACAAAATCAATTTAATGCTCAATTCCCCATAGTGATGGAAGTCTATATGGGATTTCCTTTGGCAGGACATCCTTGAATTCTTGGAGGAGGGAAACTATACCCCAAGGGAGGGTTGGGTCTAGATCGAATAGGTTTAGGTAGACCTCCTTATACCGCAATACTACGAGGCTTTTTCTCTCATAAACAGCTTGTCTCCTCTACTATCCCCTCACGTAAAGACTCACACTCCCGTTTTCTTTCTCTCAGGTCTTTACTGGGCTAGGTTTACTCCTTTCTGGGGACTCCCGACTTTTTCTCTCCCTTTCCCTCTCCAAGTATTTATCGAAGGCCCCTATAACCTTCATTTGATCCTCGTGCACCTCTTGGGGTGAGAGGGGTGTGAGGATGTGAGTGAGGCCATCCTTCCAAGGGAATAACAGTTGGCCATAGTGTTGGACTCGTCTATCAAATGCCAAGA